CCACAGTTGAGCCCAAAATTTCCATTTCTAAGCAAGGCAGTGGTTAATTGAGTTTTGCCCCATTTTATGACTTTTTTTCCCATAGTTGGTAAACGAATCGCTGCAACTGTTAAGTGAATCATATGATTATTAAGTAAATCTGGCTTCCCCCATTAACTTTGCTTGTTGGAAGCCAGCTGGAATGGTTATGAATGGTGATCACATGACCTCAGGATGACGCAACTGTCATAAATACATGCCAGTTGCCAATCACCTAAATTTGATCACATGACCATGGAGAAGCTGCAAAGGTCGTAAGTGTGAAAACCAGTCATAAGTTATTTTTTTCAGTGATGTTATAATTTTGAACTGCCACAATTGTCATAACAACTCCAGCAGGTAGATCTGAAAGGGACTAAGGTTGATAGTATGCTAAGAAGTAGAACAAATCATACTTATTTTTCTTAAGAGGAAGACTAGGTTTTTCTCGAACTGGTTCATACATCTTTCATACATCCCTGCATCTCTATTATTATTATTGTACATATATCCTGTCTTTACGCTGAAACAAAAGACAGCACAAATGGAACCTTCCCTCATTTTATCTCATCAAGACAAAATTTTCATCCTTTCTTTTTAGGATGAAAAATAATGCTTGGCCAAGTCATCAAAGCAGGGTTTGAATTGAGCTTCTTCTTAGACCCAGTTCAACATTTTAATTATTGTACCACATTGGTTTTCTTAAAAGTACACACCTCCAGTCAAGAGAAATAAGATTCTTCAACAGCATAAGCAACTTTCTACTATTTCCAGAATATAGTCCAACACTTCAGGAGTATAGGACAATAAAATATAGTCACAAATAGTTTAGTCTGATCTGCCTTTTTCAATGGAAAAAAAGCCTCTTCGGTAGAGGGTATTTATTTGTGTGTCCGCCAAACATTGCTGAAATATACAAAAATGAAAACCAAAACCCTATATATTTTGATATAGATACTCTTTACCTGAAGCAAAGGTAGAAAAGTTTAAGTTAAAAAAGCACTTTGTTTCCTTTCTTTTTTCCTGCCCATAATTCACAGGGCTAGAAAACAAACACATGCAAAATATTGTCAGATGCATATGCTATAGAAAGAGACATAGTCCAATTCATTATGTCAGGCATAATTGCCCCAAAGGAAGCAGTTAGGAAGATACACACATACAGCATTGAACCCAAGATCCTCTGTAGTCTGCCATTGTGTAAGAAGTCACTCTTTATCTATTCATGTTGCTTGCTATAACCCCTAAAGTAAAAGCACAATATAAATATGATAAAATTAAGGATATACACAGGGATAGCTCAGTTCAGACTAACAACAGCCACAGCCACAGCAAGGCATGTTCCTCAGTCATAACTGAAACAGGAAAACTTCCTTAAATAGTACATCTATTCTTGTCCAATTACACACACACACACACACACACACACACACACACACACACCATACCAATGTATCATGCAGAACAGCCATACCAAGAAACATAGGTGTTGTTATCTTTTTGGCAAGCCAATGCTGTATAAAGCAACCTGCAACGAACAATGTAACAGCTCACAGAGCACTGTTGGCATAGCAACAGGCAGGCCCACCACACTGTAATTTTTACCCCAGACCTCCACTCCCAAACTTAAAAAGTCCATTTTCTAAACTCAATAGCAAGGTATTTCTTCACTTTTATGACGCTTACTGACTCCAGGATCAGTTTTATGACCCTAAACTCTAGCAAGTGTCACTGCATAACAAGCACTTTATCACAATAGAAGCCTCTTGCACCAAATCTTAAAACTGTAGAGTAAAATATGCAGATATCACTCCCTTTCAAACCATCACAAAAACCTTAGTCAAAAACAATTATCATTATATAAGGTACTTTTTGAATGATGAATTATTTTCTCACTTACCCTGAAAACTATCCTGTAAACTAATCATGAGTAAAAGACAAAAATTGACAATTTTTACATCATGTTCCATTCTCAGACTTCTCCAAATGCATGCATACACAAAGCCACATACAAACCTACATTGGTCAAACAAGATAGAAATAAATGCCTAAAAAGTTGTAAGACCACATATGGAAGTCAGAGAGAAGAAAAAAATAAGGGAGGAAACAGAAATATGCACATTAGAATTGCAGTGATATGAAAGACTGAAGTTCACTTTAAAAAAAGATTTCTGTTGGACAAAAGCACCCACCTATCAATCTTGAAGAATATTTAATGTTGTAAGAGGGAACAATGCACAGATGTTGTCTACTAACACCCAGTCCCAAAGCCTGTTGCAAGACAGAAAGTGAAAAATGGCTTTCAGCCGCCAATATTATTGCACAACAAAACACACACCCTGCTGTGCTCTGCTGCTGCTATAACATAAGCTATCAAAAAAAAGAACATGACATGGGAGTTTCAGCACACGTTACTGAATTGAGAAAAGATAAGTCATAATTCTTGGGTCCTGTCACTCTGAAGTTGATTGTACAGGTATTATCAACATATCTGAAAATCAGAACTTTGAACAATCCTAGTACTTAAATCATTTCCCCTGCCAACACTGCCACACAGACAGAATTTCTGACAGTTCATCCATGTCTTTAAACTTTGAAAAAATATTTAATCATAATTAACAAAACTTCCTGAGGCACACACTTACAAAATGTAGAGCCTAAAAATATATCAGCTTTCTGTTATAATTAAAATTATGAGGCCATTAAATGTTTTTAAGATATCAAAATAGAGTCACCTACTCACTGAGACATAATAGCCAGTAAGGAGAAGACAAAAATTATGTGCAACTACAGTAAATTGCTAGTCTGAATCCCTTTTCTCCATCATGCTATTAGATTTGGTATGTTCATATGGTTCAATTAAGGATTAGGGCTCCCTTGTTACACTGTAGCATCTAGTAACTCAGCTACCATGTTTCAGTGTTAAACTAGTGCTGTTTTCTTATATTAAAATATGATTGTTTATTTTCAGAATACCAAAAATAAATTTCATACCAACTTGCCTACATGACTAAGAATCATTCCCTAGACAATAAGGCAAGACAGCTTCACTAAATAATCTGACATCATTTTTTTTACCAACTCAGAATATTATATTACGATTTAATCAAAATATTTAAATAGAGACCAATGAAGTTAATGTGTAAATAAATCTGCCCATCCAAAAAGATAATAGGATATATATTATGGGGAAATAAGATTTAGAGAAAATGCCAACTGTTAAAACTTCACAGCATTGGGATAAACTGTCTAAGTTGTAAAACCTCCTCTCTTCTGAAGAGGATTTTAAAAAAGATAAATCAACATGTGTTGGGAAGATTTCATCATAGTATCTCAGCTTGAAGAACTGAGGAGAAGGGGCTACACTAGGTTAACTAATTCCTTTTGAATTCTAAGTGGTTTCTTGCAAATAGAAACTCTTCTCAGCACCAAATGAATAGATCATGAAATTTGATTCTACTGAACAGCAGTGCATCTGTCAGACAAATAGGAACAGTCTGACTGCAATCTCGAAGCTGTAGGCAGAGCTTTCCAACCTTGACCACTATGTGGACTTCAACTCCCAGAATTCCCTAGCCACTTCGATTCATGTCTTTGAATACTTAGCATGCAATGGGCAAACTCATCCCACCATTCCAGAATTATTCTTCACTGGCATACATAAGCAGCAAACAACAGCTGTCCATCACAAACAGGAAAAACTCATAGCAGTATAAATTGCACAAAGAAAACCTTGTGAAAAATGGCTCTCTAATGCAGTTGATATTTCCAAAAATGCAACTGATACATATAGGAGCCAATGAATGACAAATAAATAAACAACTCTTCCAAGTTTGCAATATAGTAGCACCTCCAAAGTACTGACACTCCCTAAAGAAATGAAGCTTTTATGCACTAATTGGAGAGATTGTAGGGAGACGCCTATATTACTACTACTCACACTGCTACATGCAGCTTGAAAACAAACAGGAAGCCCTCCACTGGCCTCTTTGGGAGGAAGTATAAAACTGCAAATATATATATATATGTATCCATCATCATGCCAGGAAAAGCAGACTCTGACACCTACAGTTAAATCAGCAATAATGTAAATGCTGGCTTTCTTATAGATGTTGAAATGTATTTTCTTTTAAACTGGAAAGGATAACAACAGGATTTTAAGACCTACGTGTTTGTTGTTTGTTTTAAAAAAGAAGTAATTCCCAAAGGGAACTTAATTATTATTAGTTAACTTTTACAAACTAAACACAAAAACAATAGGTGAATTTCAGATACCCCTTCAAACAACTGCCAGCAGCTACATGACTGGAATATTCCAATTAAGTCTGGCTCCCAGTATAGCACTAAGAAGTATTTATGTCTGAATTCCTCTATGGGGAAACAACATGCATACCAAAATAAACAACAGAGACATTCATCTATTTTTTTTGTTTCTTCTCCAGAATAACTGGAAGTGAAGGAGATGAGAAATCGGATTATTTTCCCTCATCAACCCGGCTTGTCACCTAGCAGAAGGCATTGGGGATACCGTAATGGGAAGCAGAGCAATCCGAAAGCATACACACACACCAAAAATGAAAGAGAGGGAGAGATGAAAGACGGGCGCCCAAATCCTGGAGGGCCTAAATCACCTGCCAACCCCATCTAAACCAAGCCCCGTATCAGGAAAGATGCTCGCCCTCGGCAAGTTAGTCGAGGGGGGAATGCTCGGGTGCCTTTTGCTCAGCGCCAAAGCTCTGGGTCGCAGCTTAACGCCAAACGTCCAAAGTGCGAAAAGCCAGGCCTCCCAGGACCTGGGAAAGGCAGCAGCAGCAGCAGCAGCATCGCCTTTCCTTCCAGCGCCAGCAGCAGATCCCTAATTCTCTTCTCTTTGGGGGCGGTGGGTGGGTGGGTTTGTCTTTGACGGGCGCGCGTTTCCATGCACGCGAGCGAGGCGACCCCGAGAGATTGCGAGGCAGGCTGGGCTGTCTTATCGCTCTCACCTCAGGAGCTCCGCTGCCGAACGGCCTTGGCCGTCTCCCCTTCTCAAGCCCCGACGGCCGGGCTTGCAAGAAGTGTGTCTTCTTGGGCTTCAGGTCCCGCGTTTTGACGGCGCGGCTTGCTAGTTTTTGCAGGGCTGCTCCGGCTGCTGCTCGCGAGGGACGGGGGAGAGAGCAGGGCAGGAGAAGGTCGCGAGTTGCAGCCCGTCCGCGCGACCGGCGAGGCGGCAGCAGGCAGGGAGCAAGCGCGAGGGGCTGGGGGGGAAAAGAGAGCGAGCGAGCGAGCTGGCAGGCGGCGGCGGTGGTGGAGGCAGCGGCAGCAGCCTAGGCAAACAGGCGGGCGCTGGGCGGCCTCTCCGGGGAGTCGGAGGCGGGACCGAAAGCGAGGAAGGGGCGGGACGCGCAGCAACGGCTCTGGGAGAACAGGAGAAAGAGGAACTCGGCCCGGGAAGAAACAAATGGAAAAAACGAGAACGACGTGGGAGCGGTGCGGCTGGTTACAGCCCGCTCTTCCTTTACGCAGGTCCTACTCGAGCCTCTCTCAGTCTTCCGGAGCGAAACTCCTCCCTCTGGCCTGGGGTGCCCACGCAAAAAGCATCCTTTTTTTTTTTGGACAGAATTGCAGCGGGAAGGGGAGGGATGGGGGGGGGGGGGAACAGCTGGCAAGCACACCTGGAAGCCCGCAGGAGGAGCGACCTCGCCCCCGCTTCAATTACGCGCTGCACCGACAGAGGCGTCAAAAACGAAGCGGTAAAATCCTGAGGTGTTTGACTGGACTGGGCCACTTCCGATGGCCAACGCGGGGAGAGGAAGGGGGGAGAAGGCCTTTCTCTTAGAAAAGTTGAAGCAAAAGAGAGAACGACGCCGACCGTTTTCTATCGCTGCGTTCTTTATTCTGCTCTGGGGTGGGGTGGGGGGTGAAGATCTCTTTGGGTCCCCTGTGTCAAAACAAAGCAATTGCCGCAATTCCCATTGCAATTCTAGAATGGTACAATCCAGCGCTGTTCCACCTCTTGGTACCCAATCCAAATCTGGACTATATCCATTAAGCAAAAATTTGGATGCTATAATTTAGACAGTGGTCCATATGCTGCACCAAATGAAGCAAGCCTCTCAGCCTCTCCATATTCAGCTTTCTGCAAATAAAGCAGTAGCACAACAAGGGGAAAGGTGTTTTTTTTCTCCTTCTCTTCAAGTGTTTTGCTTTCAGGGACCTTTTTAAAACTAGTGCTCTTCAGAAATGGTATCACACACCTGTACTCTGACATGGTAACATTTGTTAAGCATTGTAGCCTGCTGTATGCAAAGATGTGGTGAAGTATTTTCCACTTTGGCACAAGTCCTTCTGGTGCTCCTGGAAAGATACAAACCTAGGGAGAACTCAGGTGTGTGGCACTACTTTGCAGTTCCGTTTATTGCATTTTATCTAGCTCTTACTTCAGGGAGAGCAGAATAACATATAAAGTTTTCTCTCTCTCTCACACACACACACAAAGTGTCTCATGACAATCCCGTGTAGTAGATTACACTGAGCAAGAATGGCTTGCTGGAAGTCTAGATGTCTCTGGTGCCAATCACTATATTACAATGGCTTTTTTTTCATAATGCCAAAAATCATAATCCCCATTTTCAGATCCCCGGATGTGACGAATATCTACTCTAGCTTCCTTGTTGGTTAATGATTTGTTGGCTACAAAACTGTCCATATTGGAATGGATTATTGAATATACATAAGTCTTTAGTCAGTTTCATGTCTTCAGACATCAAGAAAATTGATTCTGTAAAAGATTCATTTGAGCCCTTCTGCTCTACACTCTTTCTTCTCATTGCATCCTTTAGCTTTGGTTGTTGTTGTCCATGGTCAACAGATCAATAAACCAAAGAGTGAAATTGCCTAAAAAGTATTGAAATAACTCTTCGAATTATACTTTAACTGATTAATTTTGCCGCCTTGTATGTATGGAAAGCGTTGATCCATCTGATCGTTTAAAATTCAGAACCATGTTCACCTTTTGATGTTTGGGGCCCAGAGTAATTGCAAGAATTCACTCCCCCCCTCCACACACACACACACCTTCCCATATCCCTCTTTAAAAAAGGCCCACATCAGTTCACACAGTGCAAAGCAATAGGTAAAGAGGAAAACAGTATATCAAATATTGGCATTCCAACAAAGACAAATTATTCCTGCTAGAGCAGAATAGTTGGTACATTCCTTAGCAGCATATCATCTGTCCAAAAACAGGTGCAAAACAACTGAAGGATATTGACTTTATTTCTACACAGGGTGTATAAAATTGGCTGTATTAGTTCATTTTAATTAAATGTGATATTAAAATTGTACTGTATTTGAAAAAAAAAAGTTTCTACAAAACAAAGAGATTTATTTAAAATAGATTCCTGAGTAGGAAGGGAAATTATTAATGTCTAGATATCTTGAAATGTTGCTTCATTGACTAAAAGTCAAATTACTAAACAAGCAAAAGCTAACACTTGCTTTCCTCTGAATTAGGAAGGGCTGGATTTTGTTGAATAATAATTCAGAGCAAAATCATAACAGAATTTTAAAAAAGGACATAGGTATATTTCATATTTCATGAAGGAATATAATGAAAATGTTAGAAGTACAGGATAAGCTGGATTTAACTTCAGAAAGTTAAGTTAGAAAATTCCTTTGCTTAGTATGATATAAATAGAAATAAGCATCTTATATTCAAGCATAATATGTCCATCACAGAAGCATTTAATTAATCTCTTCACGATAAATTTAAGCAAATCATATTTTTCCTCTATATAATGAAGTTGAGAAAGTCAACCTGTAATAGATAAAGAATTGGATTGGTCTTTAGCATATGCTTTTAGTTTTGAAAAGGTTGTGCTACTTCCAGTTGTAGCTATTATGTCTCCACTTGGTGGGAAGAGCAACAGGAAAGGATTGTACCTCCATTTCCTGCTTACAACCATTCCAGAACCACCATCTAAAGCAGTGAACTCAGGTGGGCCTTAGCATGATGCCACAGATTATTTTTACATTCTCAACTGAGTGATCAGAAATAAAATAGTAATATATAAGATTAATATACAGTTTGAGGGGATCCTTGTCATTTTTCCCCAGACTCCCTCTCCCCCTCTCCAAGAAATGCCTTAGTCTGTTCAAGTACTATTCTCCTAAGTATTTTGCCAATGTTTCCCCACTTTTCCTCTCTTCGCTCATTGCCATCTCCTTTCCCATGCTTCTGATCACTTAGTTCCCTGCCACCACTCCCAGTTTACAATCAAGGAGAAACAGTTTTTCCCACACCTCATTTTAAAGCACTTGATTGGGTAATGGTGATGTACTACAAAGCCCTCGCTGCTGAAGTTTCATCTGCATCTACCTCAGTGGTGGGATTCAAATTTTTTTACTACCGGTTCTGTGGGCGTGGCCTGGTGGGTGTGGTATGGCCTGGTGGGTGTGGAAGGGGAAGGATACTGCAAAATCTCCATTTCTACCTCACTCCAGGGGAAGGATATTGCAAAATCCCATTCTCTCCCCACCCCACTAACCTGCTTTCCAGCTCCTTCTCTTGTGCAGGGCAACAAAAGAAGACCCAGCAGATCAGGTGGGACTTGGGAGGCAGAGAATAGGTGGGGGTGGGGCCAATCAGGTGGTATTACGAACTACTCAAAATTTCTGCTACCGGTTCTCCAAACTACTCAAAATTGCCACTACTGGTTCTCCAGAACTGGTCAGAACCTGCTGAATACCATCTCTGATCTACCTGCTTTTTTCTTCAGAAGTGTGGGAACATGTTACATGGAATCCGAAAGGAAACGAAAATGTTCAGTTGACAGCTTGGCAAGAAAGATTTCAACGCATATCATCCTTAGTCAACTAATGGGTTTAAAAGGGAAAGGGGAGGAGGATTTGTATTAGTCTAGGAATCGGTGTTTCTTAACCTTGGGAAACTCTACAATATGTAGACTTCAGCTCCCAGAATTTTGCAGCCAACATGCTGGCTGGGAAATTCTGGGACTTGAAATCCATGCATCTTATAGTTGGCAAGGTTGAGACGTACACCATTCTAGGTATCCAAATCCTCTGTGACTATCAGTTTGGTAGTTCTTTGAAGTATCTTGGATTTACTCCTTAATACTTTTTATTGTTATTTCAAACTTCACTGAGCCAATAGTTGTCTCCAAGAAATATCAATAATTATTTCTGAGATTTCTATTAATTTCTCTATGGATAGCAATAAATGTGAGTTAATGACGGGGTTGGCTATTGCTGAAAAGGACATAAAGCACACAATTTAATGTTTTTTATTTATATCGTTTATTCTCTCACAGTGAATCATGTCTGTCTCCAAACTTCGAAATACTTATTTTCTTTCTTTGGATATTGCTTTGATAAATGTGTTCACTTACCATCTTAAGCCATAACACATTTTCTTTAGTTTCATGCATTATACTGAGTGATAACGATCATTAGAGTATATTAGCCATGGCGTATTGTTGACTATTTTGTGAGTCCAGTCATGGTGCACATTGTTTGTTTTGTTGAATAAACAAAACTGATGAAGCCAAATGAGCCACATTGTAGTTCAAGATGTGTGAATCAAGCCAACTAATTGTTTTTCTTCTAAAGGAGGAAATGTTTGTCAAATTACCAGAATGATTTCTTAAAACTACACCTATATTAAGATAATTACTTTATTAAGTCACATAAAAGCTTACAAAATAATGGGCAAGAACTCTTCCACAGACATAATGATTAAAAGTCCAGTAAAGTAGGAGGCAGAACAAAATGTGGTTGCTTATTTAAACTGTGCCTTCATCAGATTAATCTGTCACTCCGGGTAGGCCTATAATAATCACTAGTGCACATTAGAATCTACTTGGTGCAGAGATGGTGTCAGGCTGCACAAAGAACTTTCTCAACATTTCCTGAGAAAAAGAAATAAGTAAATACTTACTGCTAAGCACTTACCTACATGTCTATGTGCTACAGGAAATGAAGAGTAATCTGGTGTAGGCTTAAATAACATTCACATTTTTTCTGTGACATTTAATTTGCCTGATCAAAAATTGAATCTGCTTAGGAAGAAATACGTGTTTTTCCTGTGTGGTTTTAAGTATAAGTCTATGCATACACATGGCAAAGGAATGATTGTGTTTATTCTTTATGATGAAAAAAAGAATTAATGAAAGATACAAGGTTCATTTATCAAGGTGATGTTCTGAATATAAGACAGACCATTGTTAAATAGTGTCAGAAGTGGATCTTGGAGAAAAATAGAGGAATAAAAAAGTAAAAAAACCTAGTGGTAAACTAGAACAACTACAAGAAAGTTGTAGGAAAAGAAACAAGTCCTGTATAAAAGATTAATTTCCCAACAGAATTGAGTGACAGCAAGGAAAGAGGATGTAGAAGCCCTCTGGAACAAAGCTAAAATGTTATAGTATAAACTCCACAAAAGAGTGTGTGGTTATGTTAATGGCAAATATGTTTGGAATGATAAAGTGAGGAAAAAATGTGGAGATAAAAAATGTGTATAAGAGAATTAATAATTAAAAAATGAAGATAAAATGTTGAAGAATATTTTTAGAGGAAAAAAACAATTCAGAAAAA